TAGGAACCTGTTCCTATCATTTGAATGAAAGCAACTTGAAGGCAAGGATTGTGTCCCATTTATCTCAATATTCTCAGCACCTGACATTGTGTTCAGTAAGCATTTGCTTCATGAATGAATGAGTAAATGGATAAATGAATGAATACCCAAACTCAATGTCCCTAATTTACAACAACTGCTCTAATCAAACTGGTCCCTTTATTGTTTCAGAAAAGCATTTTTCTCATTTTTGTCTCCCCATTTTCTTTCCTTCGTGTTTCCACTCTTACATAAAGTGTCTCTTTTTTGCCTTATCAAATTGTATCCATTCTTCAAGACGCTGATTAGTCTAAACTCACCTTAAGACCAGGTCTCACATATCTGCTTCCATCTACTCTAATTTCCTGTTTCTCTGAACTGTCACTGCACTTGAAAGTCTGAACCACACGAAGCTAGTGTACTTGATTATGCAGGTTTGCCAACTGCTCACTAATCATGTCTGGGGTGATGAGCCTAACCTGCCAATTAGATGTTAATGCAATAAGAGAAGGATTTATTTTGTATACTTCTTTGTGCCCCCCCTCTAAAATATAGCATAATGCAAAGTACTGATTACAAACATTTAAACCTTTCCATTCTGAAGGGCTGTCAATCTCTGCATGCAGTTACCAGAGGAATATGAAAACTCTCTTTACCTAGAAATTATATATGTGGGTGAATTATCCTTGAGATTTAGTCAAGAGCCCTCTACTGCTAAAGTGGTTTAATCAGAAATGTGAGAAACATAGAAAGGTCCTAACTGGAATTTTAGAGATGTAGGTGACTAAACGTGTTAATTCCACAAAAATGTATGACAAGAGTGACTTTGTCTTAATGGGAGATTCATTCTACTATTTACTCTATTGTACTTATTCTACATGAAGCCAGCATTGTTTGATACCCCTTGTCATTTAATATTTCCCAAAGGATCTTTGATCCAAGTTTTTCATACTATCTATACATTTATTCACTCATGTAACATATATTTACTGAAGGCAGTCTTGGCTGTGCAGCTCTGAGTGCACCCGCCACAGCCACCACCACTACTGCTGCCACTATGCCTAACTTCACCATCACCTGGAAGATGCGCAGCAATGAGAACTTTGAAGAGCTCCTCAAGGCCCTGGTGTGAACACCATGCTGCGGAAGGTGGCCATGGAGGCAGTACCCAAGCCTCACATGGAGATCCTCCAGGACTGTCTTGATCCGTCTACATCAAGACATCCACCATGGTGGGCACCACCAAGGTCAACTTCAGGGTCGGAGAAGGCTTTGCAGAGGAGACTGTGGATGAATGCAAGTGCAGGAGTTTGGCCACTTGGGAGAATGAAAACAAGATCCACTGCACACAAACTCTCCTCGAGGAGGATGGCCCCAAAACCCACTGGCCCCGCGAGCTAGCCAACGATGAGCTGATACTGTCGTTTGGCACCAATGACGTGGTCTTCACAAGAATTTATGTTCAGGAGTGAAGGTGGCCATCTTGCTCCTGCTCTGGGGGTACAATGAATATCCCCCACCCCCTCCAAGGAATGTCTTAGGTCTGATGTGCCAGTGGGCATCCCCTCCCTTGCTGTTGGCATTAGGCGAACGGTTCCCCATGCCCGTGTGGTAGAGCTTCCGTGAGGCCTCTGGACCATGTTCCTGGCTCCCTAGTTTGGCATCTGCACGGTTTCATCATTAAACTCATTGGAAACATTTAAAAAAACATATATTTACTGAAAATCTAAAGAGAAAAAAGACTGTAATGGCTAGTCCAGATGCCAGAACCAAAATGCCTGGGTTCAAACCCTGGCTTTATCACTTGTGTTGTGTGACTGCAAAGTACTTACTATCTCTGCCATCTGTAGATGGGGATAATAAACATAATGCTTTCCTGATAAATCTGTATGAAAATAATTAGTATTTATAAAGTACTGAGAACAGTGCTTCATACACAATAAGTGCTACATAATTTTTTTAGCCACAGTTGTAGTTATTATTACATACCAAGTGTCCATAGAATTACCTCTCCTGTCTTTCCTATATTCAGTTTCTTCCATTCTTTAAAGTGTTCTGTGGGGACAGTTCCTCTAGAAGGTCCACTCAGAATAAACATACATTCCCAGGAACTTAGGTTACTCTATCAGATGTACTACTTGACATCTTTGTGGGGTTTTTTTATGTGGTGAGAAACAACAGGAAAATTTTAATGCCAGACCATTGCATATAAATTTTGGTTACTTTATCAGATATACTACTTGGTATCTTTGTTTTTGATGGGGTGAGAAACAGAACAGGAAAATTTTAATGCCAGCCATTGCATACAAATTAGACTGGGAACAAGGAAACCTAGGTTTTAGTATTCATCTTGCCATTTTTCTCTTGTCCCTTGTGTGATATTGGACAACTCTTTCAGCCTTCCTAGATTTTCATTGACTCACCTTTAATAATAGTTTTCATATGTTTATTATTTATTTTATATACTGACAAATGGATAAATAATTCTGGTATATCCATGCAATGAAATATCATTTGGTTATAAAAAGGAATAAAATACAACATGGATGAACCTTTAAAACATTATGCAAAAAAAAAAGAAGCCAGTAACAAGAGATGGTATATTATATAATTCCATTTATATGAAGTGTCAAGAACAGGGAAATTTATAGAGACAGAAATTAGACTAGTGGTAGTATAGGGCGGGAGGATATGCTGGGGCAGGAAGGGGCATGGTCGTTAATGTATATATGGTTTCTTTTTGGAGTAATGAAAATGTTCTTGTCCTGACTGGTGTAGCTCAGTGGATTGAGCTCGGGCTGTGAAACAAAGGGTTGCCAGTTCGATTCCCAGTCAGAGCACAGGCCTGGGTTGTGGGCCAGGTCCCCTATCCCCAGTAGGGAGTACAAGAGATGCTACCACACATTGATATTTCCCTCTCTTTCTCCTTCCCTTCCCCTATCTCTAAAATAAATAAATAAAATCTTAAAAAAGGAAAATGTTCTTAAGTTGACTGTGAGGGTGGTCACACATACCTGTGATTATACTAAAAACCATTGAACTGTACACTTAAAATGGGTGAATTGTATGGTATGTGAACTATATCTTCATAATACCATTTAAAAAATCATACACCAACATTCATAGCTGCATTGTTTATAATAGTCAAAAAGTGGAAATGACCCAAATATCCATCAACTGAAGAATGCATTAAAAAATGGTATAGCTATACAGTGGAATATTATGCAGCCATAAAAAGGAATGAATTAGTGATTCATGCTACCACACAAATAAATCTACCTCTAAAACATGCTAAATGAAAGAAGCCAGATGCAAAAAAAAAATGCAAAAAACTATATATTGTATGATTTCCCTTATATGGAATGTCCAAAAGAGACAAGTCTGTGGAAAAATAAAATTGATTAAAGGTTTCTAGGGGATGTGGGTAGGAGGAAATTGGGAGTAGCTATGAACAAGTATGGGAGTTCTTTTCAGGTATGATGAAAACATTCTGGAGTTAGATAGTGGTGATGATTTTACACAATAATGTGAATATATTAGAAACCACTGTATTTTACACTTTAAAATGGTTGTTTTATGTGGATTTATCTTAATTTTAAAAATTTCCCAGAAAGGGTATATAAGAGTAAATCCTGATTTAATGGCAGTCAAAAAAAAAAAAAAAAGAAGAAGAAGAAGCACATGGTGAGTTAGTCAAAAGAACCAAATAAAATAGTGGGGATTTTTTAGAAGCGCATTTACTGACAAGAGTTTTCAGGTCTTCTTGGCCATTATATTTTTTCATAAAAAAAGAATGAATTGATTTAGAATTTTGAGTTAGTTTGTAAATGTTTTCTAGTCATCCCACTGAGGCATAGTTGACCCTCCCCCCTCCTGATTTTAGTTCTAATGTGGAGGATCTTGACACTCCATACACCCACATACACCCAGAAAATCTGAAATAAATTTATTACTCAAGGGGCCCTGGGAAAGGAGGGGATCCAAGCAGCTCTGGACTGGCTTAAGAGAGAGGAAGAGGGAGTGTGTTGCAACTTTATAGTCTCTAGACTACACTGACAACAAGGGAGAAAGCAAGCTCTGGGCTTTCTTATCAGCCTGCCCAGAAGTGGGGAGTTATCTATAAATGCTCCAAGATTTTGCAACTTTTAACTTTCCATGTTTGTTATTTTGATTACTCACTGTCTTTTCTTGTAAAGCTTATTTTCAAGGCCAGTAGGAAAAGAAAGTTCAGATGAGAAAGAAAAAACTAGCTCAAATAGTATTGGTAGGATTCAGTGACTCACTAAACTTGCATGTGTGTCAAGGAACTATTATGGCAAGGTTTTAAGTCTAGGTAACTGTTGAGAGAATGACCACTACTGCCACAGAACTTGTAAGGAAAACTGTGAGAAGAAACTTTCTTTACCATTCAAATTTAATCCTTAGAAAATGTTTGTGCAAGCAGTATCTTGGCAAATATTTTTCTTGTAAACATATTTTTTCCTTAACATTCTAATAACTATTATAGACATCTATATGATAGGAATAACATGCAAGCAAACCGACTAGTTTAAAACAAATTTAGTGAAATTAATCAATCATTTAAACAACCTGATTTTTATTCCTTTTATTCATCTAGTTTAGGTCTTCAACTCCCAGTTATAGTATGTTTAAAATTGTTGCCTCTCCCCATTACACACAGGGAGGATCCAGAATTCACATTTTCATGTGCTGAGATACTGGGTGCAGCCCGAATTTTGGAACTGCAACCCTGGTTGACAGGAGGATTGAGAAAGATTTCGGCTTCAGCCTCCCGCCTTCTCCAGGGCTCGCAGCCCGCGACCCACCAACCACAGCGCACAGCCAAATTGCCGCTGCCTTCGAGAATTTGTGAGGCCCTGCACATGTCCGCGAACGCCCTCCGTCATCCGTTAGAAAAGAAACCCGGATGTGCAGTGGGCCGGATGGGGGTGGTGGAGGCGCGGTCCCCTACCCATGAGGCAGCGCGCTCAGCTATATACCTCCACCGAGGTCTGAGTCGATCATTCCACGCCTGGAGTCACCGAGGCTGCTGCTTTTCTTTGGCCGCCGCTCGGTATTTTTGTGCTCCTCCTCTTTCTCCTCCTCCTTCAAGTCCCAGTTTGGCTGACCGGTTCTGTTCGCGGTACGTGTCCCCCCACGCCCGCCTGCGCCTCGGGGAAGCTGGCGGAGGCTCTCGCTTGCGGCGGTGACCGCCTTGCCCTGAGGGCGGCAACAGCGGCCTAGCGCTGAGGAAGGCAGCGGGAGTCTTGAGGGTCTGAATTCCGGCGTGAGTCGCCTGGATCGCCCGGGGCGCGGGGGAGGGGACGGCGAGGTGGCGCGGTGCCGGGTGGGCCACCATCTTGCGCCATTCCTGGCGGGGGAGGGATCTAAGGAAGGTAGCTGCTCGGCGGCAGGGTTTGGCGGGCAGCTCAGGCCGTGGTCGCGCGGGCCGCCGCCACTGCCACCTCAGCTCTTGGGACCTGTGCATCTGTCCCATGACAGGTTTTGTCTTTTCTTTTTGGAGGCAGCTCCCTTTGGTCTTTTATACTTTTGATGTCGACGTTTGGCGACATCCGCCTATCCCTAAGTCTCTAAAGTCGTAGGCAAAGAAACCAGGGAAGGTTCCGAACTTTCAGGATTCAGGGGCCTTTGGGCCCATCGTTTAGGTCCAGGCTCCCCCGACCCAGGTTAATGGTCGTAGAGTGCTCAAATCCTTGTTCTTGCCAAAGGGACTTCGCTCCTCCGTTATAGAAATCGTGCTCCATTCCGTTATTGTCTAGAGGAGAAGAGCCTTGAGAAGAAACGTGGAGTTCGATACACAATTTTTTTAGCAGTGAGCTTTGCAGGTTTTACTTAATGGAAAAAAATATCTCATTCTCAGGCTTTATCCTTCTCTAGACACGGAGAGAGTTCCTCTTGACTTATCTCAAGTTTTAGTGCTTTTTATTAAGGAGAAATCAGAATAAAATGTCAAGTGTACCAGCTTCTGGAAGCATGGGAGATCTTCTTCCAAGGGATTCTCTTTGTTTGCAAAGATTTTTTAGTTGTTGTTTTTTTTTTTAAATATGTGGACTTAAATTTTGCCTTTTGTTTTCAGTTTTGGTCTGTGAATTTTAATGTCTTCTAGTGCCGTTAAATATAAAATTGGAACCAAGAAATAGAGTTTTAAACTACAAAAGTCTCCTCTTTGCATTCATGAGATGTCCTGCTTGGGGGGTTACCGTGAAAACTCCAACCGCCTCCTTAAGGATAAATTTTCAGAGCCTATGAAGGCACTGGTTTGTTTTATTAAGTTACGGCTGTATGCCCTTGATGTTTTAACATTGGTACAAATTCCACTATAATTGTATTTTACATTTGTATATTTCATTGATTATTACCCATTTTGAGGTGGGCTGTGGGGTGCTGATAGAACTGTGTGGAAGGTGAGGGAACAGCCTCAAGGAGATTGTACCGAAGTCTTAAATGGTAGGAATTGATAGGACCTGTTCTTAAACCTAGATCTTCTAAGTCTTCGGCCAATGTTCAATTTACTGTATTATGCCACACTTTTCACGGGACTGAGGTGATAAAGGAGAATAAAAAAGGATGCTCACCCCCTAAAAACAGAAGAAATATTTTCCAATTCCCCTTTCCTTTATATTTTTATTTTTAATATTTTACATCTTTTCACCTTTTTAGTATTTAAACTATTATTATTTCCAAGCATGTGGAAAAGTTGAAGAATAACACATTGAAAAAAAGTTTTCATGTTGAAGGGCTCCAAATTTCAGCTTCCCCTATTCAACCTATTTTCTTTTTTTTTTAATTTTATTTTAATTGTTAAAGTACAGTTTCAACCTATTTTCTTTCCTCAGTTGTTTTCTAGTCCAATCCAATTTCTTCAGCCCAGTGTTTTACTACTTAGCATCAGCATTTTTAGTTGAAGAAGTGAATGAGGGGATAAGGATATATAATTTTGTACCTCTTCTTTTCTCCTATTTGTTCTCTTTATTCAAGGGGACATTTAGAATCATACAAAGTGGAGGGATCAAGGAAAAAGAACTCATGGACGTGGACAACAGTGTGCTGATTGCAGGGGGGAGGGGAGTATAAGGGGGATAAATAGTAATGGAAAAAAACTACAATAAAATGTTTTTAAAAGAACCATACCAAAATATTTCTGTCACTCTTATACTAATAGGAGAGGGAGAATACCTAAATGAATAGCAATTTTTTGGAAATAAAAGAAATCCGTAGTTTTAGTGACAGGATATTGGAAATATATATTAAAATATTTTGTTATTTCAAAACTAAGTTAAAAGATCAGAAATATGTATTACCTATTCTGTCTTCCTACATCAAGAAGGATTTAAAAATATTTGGTTTTCAGTAAGGTTATTTTAAATGACTCAAAAACACTTAATTTATTCTGTAATGGTATTAAAAATGTGTGTCTAGACTTTTTGATTCATTTTCTGCAAAGCAGTTTTCTTTTAAGGAGTGTTTTTATTCACTCTGGATATGTCAGGAAAAATAGTCATCACTATGTACAATCTGGCTCCAATGGAACTTGTTACATTATTTTTTATGTTTTAAGTCATTTTACAAATAACTTACATAAGAATCACAAAATAGTGAAACCAATTTTATTAAATATTTAATGAGGATTTATTCATGGTGTACTCCTTTGTATATAATTAGAAAAACAAAAGATACATTTCAGAAGCTTACATAAGAATCCAGTTGTCTTTTATTAAGATGGATATTAAAGACATTTGCAAAAATGTAAATCAGTACCACACTTCTCATTAAATTTTTTGTTTGAAAAAAGTATTTTCATTAAAACTATATATGAACATGTATTGGGCTTATTTGTGCTTTAAATAAATAAATATTAAATTTTTAAGTTTTAATTTCTTTTTTTTTGGATTTAAACAATTATTGTTCAATTACACTTGTCCCCATTTTTCCATATTACTCTCCCCTGCCCTACCAAACCCCCACCTCCCACATTCAATCCTGCCACCCTTTGTCGTTGTCCATGGGTCCTTTATACTTGTTCTTTGACTTGACCCTTCCCCTTTTTTCCCCATTATAACCCTCCTCCCTCCCCTCTGGTCACTGTCAGTTCTTTATTTCCATGTCTTTCATTCTATTTTGTTCTCTTGTCTGTTTGGTGATGAGGTTCCACTTATAGGGGGGATCATATGGTATTTGTCTTTCACTGCCTGGCTTATTTCACTTAGCATAATCTCCATTTCCAGCCATGCTATCAATAAAGAGGGGGAGTTTTTTCTTTCTGCTACATAGTATTCCATTGTATAAAATACCAGTTTTTTGATCCACTCATTTACTGATGGGCACTTAGGCTTTTCCAGCACTTGAGTATTACAGATAACACCACTATGGACGTTGGGGTGCATAGCTGCTTTTGAATTGGTGTTTCAGGATTCTTAGGGTATAATCCCAGCAGTAGAATTGCCAGGTCAAAATGCAGTTCCATTTTTAGTTGTTGTTTTGTTTTGTTTTGTTTTGTTTTTAGGAAATTCCATAGTGTTTCCCACGGTGCCTGCACCAGTCTTCATTCCCACCAACAGTGTACTAGGGTTCCCTTTTCTCCACAACCTTGCCAGCATTTGTTGATTGCTGATTTGTTTATGACGGTCATTCTGACAGGTATGAAGGGGTATCTTATTGAGGTTTTTTTTTTTAATCTTTTTTTAAGATTTTATTTATTTATTTTTAGGCATAGAGAAAGGGGGAAGAAAGATAGGGAGAGAAACATCAGTGTGTGGTTGCCTCTCGTGGGCCCGCAACTGGGGACCTGGCCTGCAACCCAGGCATGTGCCCTAGACTGGGAATCAAACCAGCAACTCTTTGGTTCACAGGCCGGTGCTCAATCCACTGAGCCACACTAGCCAGAGCCATCAAGGAGTTTTAATTTGCAGCTCTCTGATGGCTAGTGGTGCTGAGCATCCTTTCATATGTCTCTGGGCCCTTGGTATGTCTTTCTTGGAGAAGTGTCTCTTAAGGACCTTTGCTCATTTTTTAATTGGATCGTTTGTCTTTCTGGTATGGAGTCGTGTGAATTCTTTATATATTTTGGAGATCAAAGCCTTGTCCAAGGTGTCATTGGCAAATATATATTCCCACATGGTTGATTCCCTTTTCATTTTGCTGATATTTTCTTTAGCCATGCAGAAGCTTTTTATTTTGATGAAATCCCATTTGTTTATTCTTTCCTTTATGTCCCTTGCTCTAGGGAACATATCAGTGAAAATATTGCTTCATGGAATATCTGAAGGTTTCCTGCCTGTTTTCTTCTCTAGGACTTTATGGTGTCACAACTTGTATTTAAGTCTTTTATCCACCATGAGTTTATTTTTGTGTATGGTGTAAGTTGGTGGTCAAATTTCATTGTTTTGCATGTGGCTCTTGAGATCTCCCAACACTATTTGTTGAAGAGACTATTTTTACTCCATGTTATGTCCCTGCCCCCTTTGTTGAATATTAATTGACCATAGAGACATGTGTTTATTTCTGGGAAATCAATTCTGTTACATATGTCTAGACATACATCTATATGTCTGTTATTAGTCCAGTACCAGACTGTTTTGATAACAGTGGCCTTGTAATATATTTGATGTTAGGTATTGTGATCCCTCCTACTTTGTTTTTTCTCAAAATTGCTGAGACTATACAAGGTCATTTATGATTCCATATAAATTTTTGAAATATTTGTTCTAGATCTGTGAAATATGTCATTGGTATTTTAATAGGGGTTGCATTGAATGTATAAATTGCTTTGGGTAGTATGGACATTTTGATGATAATTTTTCTAATGTATGAACATGGTATACACTTCCATTTATTTGTGTCTTCCCTTTTTTAAGACAAAAAACATACTAACTATTAATTTATTTTTAAATTTTTTACATTACTTTATTTTTTTAAAGATTTTATTTATTTATTTTTTAGAGAGGGAAGGGAGGGAGAAAGAGAAAGAGAAAAACATCAATGTGCGGTTGCTGGGGGTCATGGCCTGCAACCCAGGCATGTACCCTGGCTGGGAATCAAACCTGCGACACTTTGGTTCTCAGCCCGCTTAATTTTTTGCATTACTTTATTGTTGTTCAGTTAAAGTTGTCTGCATTCCCACCC